CCTACTTCCCTCTCTCTCATCTCAAATGTAGCCAAGGCTGGCCTAGGCTTCATTATATAGACCAGGTTGGCCTTCAAATCACAGAACTTTGCCTGCCTCTGCCTCCAAAGTGCTGGCACCAAGGTGTGGGTCACCACTGCCCAGCTGCCACAAGTGTTTCTCAACTCTCTTTAAACCTGTCATCAGTGAGAGCAGGGCTGGGGTTCCCATCAGTAACCCTCCCTAGCATGCTCAAGGCTCTGGGTTTGCACCAGCTATTAGAGAGAGAGAGAGAGACAGAGACAGAGAGAAGGGAGAGAGGGAGGAAGGGGAGAGAGGGGGAGGAAAAAAGAGGGAAAGAAAAATGGGTCAGAGAGAAGAGAAACGGAAGTAGTCCCAGGCATGGTGACAGCATGAGTGGATTTTGTGCATATTTTTCGGTGCTCCTGTGTGAATGTACAGGAGGATAAAACCAACCAACGAAAAACTTAAAGAAAACATGTGTGGTGACATACGCCCATGCCAGTAATCCCAGCACTTGGGAGGTGAAGACAGAAATTCATTCTCAGCTACATGGTGAATTTGAAGTCAGCCTGGTATATATGAGACAGTTACTCAAAAACACAGCAAAGCAAGAAGAGGAGGAGGAAGAGGAGGAGGGGGAAGAGATAAAAGAAAAATGTACAAGTAAATATGTAATTCGGAGCCAGGCGGTGGTTACACCCTTAATCCCAGCACCCTGGAGGCAGAGGCAGGCTGATCTCTGTGAGGTCAAGGGCAGCCTGGTCTACAGAGTGAGTTGCAGGACAGCCAGGGCTACACAGAGAAATACTGTCTTTTGAAAGAAATTTAAAATAAATAAACATGTAATTTGCTAAATTCTCCCAAATAAACACTGAAGCCACACCTAGGTCAAATAGCACTTCTCACTACTGGGGAACTTCCTGGCTTGACATGTCTCACATTCCTCTCCACAGAATAACATTTTTTTTGTTTCCAAATGAACAGACACACACACACACACACACACACACACACACACACACTTTTTTGTTTTTGTTTTGAGACAGGGTTTTGTAGTCCTGGCTGTCTGGCTGTCCCGGAACTCACTCCGTAGACCAGGCTGGCCTCAAACCCTCAGAGATCTTCCTGTCTCTGACTCCTGAGTGCTAGGATTAAAGGCATAAGTCACCATGGCCTGGTGCATATGTATGTGTGTGTGTGTGTGTGTGTGTGTGTGTGTGTGTGTGTGTATGTATGTATGTGTGTATTATATACATATATGTGTATGTATATATATATATATATAATTTGTATATATTATACATATATTTGAGATTGTAATTATTTTTTTTAAAGCAGGATCTCACCCTAAACTGACCTGGAATCTATTCTGTAGCACAAACTGACTTCATTCTCACAGGGATCCTCTTGCCTCTGCCTCTAAATGCTGGGGTTCCATTCATGAACTGCCATGCCTGGCACAGCCTCCATTTCTGCCCCTCCTCACCCAATTGCTGGTGCAAACCCAGAGGCTTGAGCATGCCAGGAAGGCACCCCAGCCCAGTTGTTTCTGACAACTTAAATAGGTTTTGTCATTTTGTATACTTTCCAGTGCTCCTCCAATGCTGCTGTGTGTCACAATCTCCTGGGGGTGGAGGGAAACCCTGTGCTACAACAGACGGCGTCCCCTTCACTAGTTTCAGATTCAGTATGAGAATACTGGGGGGGTGGGGCGGGGGCGGGGACTAATCCGGGTGTCTATCAAACCCCTTGCCTTGAAGCTTTTGCTGGTCTGGAATTTCATAGCCTGTCTTCTTCTGGGTTTTGGTTTCCACAGGGTCTCAGTGTGCAGCCAAGGCTGGCCTCATGCTCTGTAAGCCTCCTACGTGTTGGGTGTACAGGTGTGAGCACCAAAACCAGCTGTACTCTGTACTGTTCCACGCTCGGCTGCTTTCAGAGGGCAGCTCCAGCTTTCTGTTTATGTTATGGTGAGCAGCTAAGCCGTCCCCAGCCCTCCCATTACTCTCTTATTTTCTCCCTCCTCTATTTACTCCTCTTCTTTCCTTCTCAGTCAGTCTCCTCTCTGCTGTCACAGCCTAGATGCGTGTATGAATTTAAATCTTGATCCCACACATGAGAGAAAAGATGCAACGTTTGTCTCAGTATGGTTCATTTCACTTGGCAGGATGATCTCCAGTTCCATCAATTTTTCTGAAAATGTTGCAATTTCATTCTCTTTATAACTAGATAAAATCCTATTGTGTATATTTACCATGCCTTCTCCATCTGCTTGCCTGTTGATAAACCCCTGGGATGGTTCTATACCTTGACTGATGCAACAATAACATTGCAACCATAAACATTATTGTATAAAGTGAGGACATGACTGCTCCAAGGTATGGTTGAGAGGAAGGTTTTTATTGTGGATATGAGGGAGAGGGCAGCCAGAGGCATCTGGAAGAGTCCAGAATAGGGAGAGAAAGTAGTGAACTGAACATGGCCAGCAGAATGAACTGGGGGGCCGTGATGGGGGAGGAGAGGAAAGGAGAGGAGAGGAGAGGAGAGAGAGAGAGAGAGAGAGAGAGAGAGAGAGAAAGAGAGAGAGAGAGAGAGGACCAAGAGAGCACATGGCTGAAATGGCAGGGCTGTGTAGGAATGAGAAGCTGGGAAAGGGAAACCATGAGCCAGAGTGGAGAAGTTTAAGGTAGGGATGGGGTGAGAAGAGCTGAGATGAGCCAGGATGCCAGCAGCATGGACTCTGTAACAGGTAATTTCTATGCCAAGAGCCTGGATTTTGGTATGCTAATAGGTACCACAGTTAGCCATTTCTTTTGGACCTGACAATGTGGGGAGGGGGGCTGGGGGTGGAGATTGGATGTGCAGGTGTCTCCTTTATTTGCTGATTTAGAACCCCAGGATAACACAGCTGGGTCACAACAGTGGTTCTGTTTTTAGGGGTTTTTTTTTGGGGGGGGTGTAATTTTTTATTTTATGTATGTGGATGTTTTGCCTGCATATATGCATATGCACTGTGGGGATCCCTGGTACACAGAGGCCAGAAGAGGATGTTGGATTTCCTGGCACTGGAGTTACATATAGATGGTATAAGCTGCTATGTGGGTGTTTAGAATCGAACCCGGCTTTAATCCCAGCATTTGGGAGGCAGAGGCAGGTAGATCTCTGAGTTCCAGGCTAGCCAAGGCTTCATCGTGAGACCCTGTCTCAAAAAACAAACAGACAAACAACAACAAGAATCAAACCAAAGTCCTCTGGAAGAGCAGCAAACAGTCTTAAAGGCTGAGCCACCTCTCCAGCACCCATTTTAGTTTTGTAAGGAGCCTCCATGATGGCTACACCAGCTTACATTTCTGCTGAAATTTCTGCACTCACCAGCGTTCTCTCTCCCTTTCTTTTTCTGTGTGTGTGTATGTGTGTGTGTGTGTGTGTTTGGTTTGTTTTGGTTTTGGTTTTTCAAGTCAGGGTTTCTCTGTGTAGCTTTGAAGCCTGTCCTGGAACTCACTCTGTAGACCAGGCTGGCCTTGAACTCATAGAGATCCTCCTGCCTCTGCCTCTCAAGTTCTGAGATTAAAAGCATTCACCACCACCACCCAGCAATTTATTGATTTTTATTTTATGCATATAATGTTTTGCCTACATGAAATGTATGCACAACACATGTGTGCAGTGTTGGAGGAGGCCAGAAGAGGGCATCAGGTCCCCTGAAACTGTAGTTACAGAAGGTCATTAGGTAGCCCCAAGTGGGTGCTGGGAATCCAATCCAGATCCTCTGCAAGAGCAACAAGTGCTCTTAACTGCTCAGCTGTCTCTCTGGACCCCATTGTTATTTTCTTTATGATCTCCAGGGAAGATGGAATCTCAAGCGTATTTGCATGTGGTGTGTTTGTTAGTATGAGGTGAGGGTGTCATCAGTGGCTCTCCACCATTCTGTATAGACCACAGATCTCCCAGGATTAGGGGACTGTAATGTTCAAACCAAAGCCTGAGACAGAAGGAGTCCCCCTTTAGTTTTTGAAAACAGGGTCTGGCTGACCAATGAGCTACAATTTGACTGACTCCCCCTGACCTTTAGTGCTGGGTTTACTTGTTCTGGGGATCTGAACTCAGGTGGCAATGCTTGGCAGAAGTGACTTTACTCACTGAACCACCTCAACCAGGATCTCAATGTATTTTTGTTGTTTTGCTTTGCTTTGCTTTGTTTTTCTTTTCTTTCTTTCTTTCTTCTTTTTTTTTTTTTATGGTTTTTGATTTTTTGAGACAGGGTTTCTCGGTGGCTTTGGAGACTGTCCTGGAACTAGCTCTTGTAGACCAGG